GAACAATTTTTCAAATTGGAGTGAGACCGGAGGAATCCTTCGTAACACCCGAAGGATATGAATATCTGGAGAATGTGGAAGAACACCACATTTATATGAGGCACGAAGCGCATGAAATTATGGTGTGGGTGCTAAGGTAAAAAAATAGTAATAATGGTAATATGTACATTTTTTTAAATATTATAAATATTTTTTTTAGATAAATTCTTATACACTTTTGGCTGCTATGGCTGCTACTAGTGACTATGACAGTGATAGTGACAGTTCAATGGGTAATGTAGTAGATGAGCGAGAATCGCGTGCGATTCTTAACTGTAAAATATGTGTAAAAGAATCCTATGTACTTTATGAAGATGATAGGGATATATTGTGTTATTTCTGTTTTGATTCAAAAATAAGAGAATATGGTGAACAATACCTACAAAACTATCGATTTATAAGTGCGCATTACTTATTAAACGAAATGGACTACGTACGTAATCATCTAAATAAGTGCTATAAATGTGAAGCTTTATTATATATGGTTTCTTCACGAAATACTTGTATGCTTTGTTGTGGCATACCTAATAGTCACTAGCAGCAGCAGCAGTTTCCTTGTTCATTCCACATAGGATAAGTACGCCTATGTGCTTCTTTTCAATTTATCACACAATGGTGTATAAAATATCGCTGATTTGATAATATTGTTTCAGTTAAACCATCCCTTTCTCGTATCGCAAGCAAACTAATACAGTAATCTTCTGTTTGTGTGTGTGTGTGTCTGGTTTGTGCGGGTAAATTAATTAATATTTAAAAAAATAGAACAGGTCAATTCTATTGCATGCTACGAACTGAAACCAAAAATTAAACCAGACGAAATGATTATAAATAAATGGTGCAGTTCTAAACATTCAAAAAATTAATACAATTGGAGAAGCAGTCATGGTTGAGTTGGAGCGAAAAATGCTATTTCTTCCAAAACGACTAGTTTCGGTTATGTCTTCAAGTGTTTTTGACCTCCTGTTAAGCAACGAAGGATGTTTTATTTGTTTCAAAGGCAAGAAAACGCTTCCTGGTACTCTCTTTGCAATAAATCTGTTCGAATTTAGTAAAACTAACAGTAACACCCAGTAGACAGTCAGTTGTATTTAATCCATACATGTAGTGTGTGTTTCGCATTGTCGTTATCGTCATCTCGATAATAATAAAAATTAAGTAGGTTTCATTTACTATAATCATCGTCGTATCACAATTAAATAAATGGAGGACTTACTGAAAACCACACAACTTTTTAAAACAAGCAAGTCTCCCGAGGAGATTACAAGTTTTATTCGGTTAAATTGAACGAAAAAATCCACAATGAGATAAATCTAAATTTGAACCTCTTTTGGGGATTTTTAAATAATTTAATGAACGAATGAAACAATTGCAAAGGCTTAATGCACAACCACCACAGCGAACACCACCACTACCACAACCAGCAACAGCAACCCTCGGAACAGGGTTGTCTACTACCCATACAATAATACAAAATGTTGTTTGAAAAACGGTAACTAAGTTTTTTTTCAAAAAGTATTTCATTTTCTTTTTGTTATAGTTAGCAACAGCATTTAAATCGCGAATAATGGCTGGAGCTGTATTAAATGTCAACCACAGTGGCACTTATCAATTTAAAAAGCAAGTAACTAAGCACCACAATTTTTCAAAATTAGTTTTTTTGTTTGCGATCGATGCCCTAATCATTTGTCGAAAAAGCAAAAATATAAAATCCACATCGAAAATTGGTCTCTATTTGAGGCTGTTACAGTAAGGTAACAGTACCTTTTTGTGTCCATGTGGATGCTGCCATTTGGGATTCAGTGGAAAAAGCGCCTCAACAAATTCCATTTATAAAACATAGGCAACTCTTAGTGCTTCCCAACGGTAGGTTTCCAATTACATGAATAGGGATCGGTGCATGGTAATATTAAGATATCTGCATTTCAACAAAAATCCGCTACCCAATGAACCACAACTATGAATCGGTTATTCAAAATTCGACCGCTCATAGATAAATTTAACCATAAAATGAATGAAGTTTATTATCCAGACAAAAAATCTCTGGTTAGATGAATCGATGATATTGTGGCGAGGCAGGCTAATTTTCAGGCAATATATAAAAAAAGGATGGTGTCAAATTGTATTTGCTAACAGAACCAGACGGGACAGTAATGAAGTTCTCTGTCTATACTGGCCGCTTAGACGATCATGGAGACAAAGAGCATGCTGCCATTGTTGTCCTTCACTTGACAGAAGAGGGACTTGACGTTGGGCACTCGCTATATTTAGATAACTATTATAATACTTACGTTCTCGCCGTTAAGTTGTTGTCCCGAAAAACATATTGCGCCGAAACTCTTAGGATCGATCAGAAGCAAAATCCTCTTGAAATAAAAAACGCCAAATTGATGAAAGGAGAAACAATTGCATGCTATTTCAATGACGTAATGATTGCTAGATGGAGAGATAATAGAGACGTCCTGACATTTCAACGGAGTTGGGAAATAACCTGAGGAATAGCAAGCATAACAGAAAACAACAAACAAAGAAAAAGCCAGAAGCTATTTGCCGATATACCATCTTTATGGGCGGAATAGATAAAAAACATCAGATGATGTCATACTATCCATGTGATAGCCAAACCCTACGCTGATACAACAAAATAGGAAATCACATTATTTATATGCTAAAACCAAACCTCCTGCTTTACCTTTTTCCCCTTGAGGGTCATGGGCCTAAGACACTGCCGAAGCAGAAGAAACAACAGCCTGCCGTAAAAAAGCAGCGTGAAGAGTATAAAATAAACGCCTTGAATGGCTAAGTCTAAAAAAAACACCCCACACGTCGTGCTGGGCAGTCATCATTCTGTCCGCTTTAATAACCATAATTCCGCTTTGACCTGCTGTTCTTTTTCTTTTTGGAGTACCGTACCGTACCGTTGGAGGAAAACCGTACACATACACTCTGTATGTGTACGGTTTTCGTTTCAGTGCTTAAGTGTTTCAAACGGCCCTTGCCGACAACACGTGCCTTTCGAAAAAAAAATTAACTGCGTCTCTATTGAGACACAGCCCCTTCTTCTTCGCGACAAAAAACCAAGCTGCCAGAAATTCCTTCGTCCTACGTTAATTCTGCAAATCCAAAACTGTGTGCGTCCACAAACGTCGTTAACACAAAAATGAGCGGCTCCGCGATTGACGAAAGCCGCGAGCGTCCGAATATAGCGAATTCAAATTCAAATAGTGTCAGTGCTACCTTGAGGAAAATGGGTGAGTCCAAACTATAATCCCCAAAATTGCTAACCAAAAACCACGACCTAAAATCTATGAATGCCGAAATGAAAGCCCTGCGGCTTCGTAACTAGCAGGACGAGCGTATCAAGGCCCAAACTGCTCAAATCCATGAGCTCAGCCGCCTACTCACTCTGGAGAGCCCCCCAAAAATACAACCATAACAGTAATAATAATAACAATAAACGATTTTATTTGTATTAACATAGACAGCATCCAGAATACTCCAACAGCTGAAAGACTTCTTAAATCAAAACGCCGAAGTTCAGTACGTCAGATACAAAATATCTGAAGCCTGTTCAACTAACCCATAACTAAAACTAAAGGCTGAGACTGTCCGACCAAAAAATATAAAACCGCTAATAGAAATGAGAGATGATGAGAGAAAAGATAAGAGTATTTTAATTTTATCAAAAACTGTTTTTGGATGTAAGTACAGGATACAGTGTGCCTACTTGAGGTTCTGAACGTATTTTGCTTGATCCAAAACATGAAATACAACTATCAGATATTTTTTCAGTCGTACACGAGGTATATCAGAAAATATAAATTTTGCTCATGAATCAAAAACCTTCTTTTTGACAATATCGAAAATTGCTATTAAGAAAAGTTGACAATAGTTGAAAAGTACGTTCAGATGTCTAATTGCACCTATCTATATATTATTTTAATGCAACATAGAGATTAAGAGACGTTAAGGTAACGCAGAAACGTTTAACAAAAAGAGCTAACTAGTTAAAGTTTTCGATATTTTCAAACATTAATTTATTGCAGTTTTATATTGATATTTCCTGACAAACATCGTATACTTACTACTGTAAAATATGTCATTTAACGATTGTATTTTAGAATTTAGAACATCCAGAACTTCTTATGAAGAGCAAATTTTTTCCGTAATATTAAAAATAATATAGTTTGTCATATGAAACCAACTTAAAAATTATGCAAAAAATAACAAAACTTTGTTTATTCTAGATAAATGCATTCAGATATCTGAATGCACTTTTCAATTCCAATTAACTTTGCTTAATAACTAACTATTTTCGATAATGTCAAAAATAAATGTACTTTATTCTTGAACAAAATTGATATTTTTTGGTATACCTCGAATACAAATACAAATAAAAACATCTGTGGTTGCTTTTCAGGTTTTCGACCAAGCTAAAATTTGTATGCAGAATAACTTTTTTCCGTAAAATAAACAATTAAAGTTTCCCATATGGTGCAAAAGTTCATATCATATTCATATAAACTAACACAAAAAAACTTTCGTATAAAAAATATGAATATGACCGTATTGTAATAAACCCACAGAACACGGTATATACAGGGTGTTCCGCAAATATGTTAAAATATTTTAACAGCACAGCTTTTTTTGCTGGCAAACTAGTGGTGTTAGGAAAAAACAAAAAGAGATAAAAAAGTTGATAAACAATTTGTAGTAATTTATAAAATTATGTTGATAAAAGTTTAGGTGCACACAAAAAAGTTCTGAGCAAAACAAAAGAAAGGGTTCCACATTTCTACCCTGTATAAAAGTAAACTGAACTACAAAACACTATCATAGAATGGCACTCAATTAGCTTATAATGCATACCAAAAATGAAGATTATCGGTTTAACCGTTTTAAAGAAAAACAAAACCAAATATTTTTTCTCTATTTCGGAGATCAAATATCTCAAAAATGAGACCTCAAATTAAAAAATTCTCAAGAAGACCCCGCTCTAAAATGACTAGGAGACCACGCTGTTAAAATATTTTAACATATTTACGGAACACCCTATAGCCCATAGAATAACCTAAAAGAATGTACTTAATTAGGGGGGAAAATACTAATAGGGTAATAAGTTAATAGTTACCAAATAAGAGTTTGAAGAATTCGGCGTTTTAATCGATGCTACGGCGTATATATTAAGATCACCTCAGATTAGAATTGTATTCGCTAACTACAAATAAAACTATAAAACGGATCATTTGTACTAAGTAGACAAATGTATATATCGACGTCGTCGCGACAAAAAGACGTAAGCGCCAAAAATTCTAAAATGGTTTTATTTTACCAACTACTTCAAAACTACCTTTTACATCAACCTAGCAGGGCGGTTTGAGCGGCAGAAAACTAGACATCAATTAAATTCGACCTTTTGTTGCGTAAGCGACCGTTCGCGACACGTTTTGTTGCTTTCAGAATCAGTCGCTATCCAGACACAGTTGGGTTTGTGTCGGTTACGCCAAAAGCTCGTTACTATTAGTTGCAAAGGTAAATAATTTCAATAAATTTTAAGAAACAATGTATTTTTAACGAGAATCTTTAATAATGACCCAATATAATTTAAATCTCATTGTAATCTCCATAAATTAGCCTTTGGCGTTTACGTCTTTTGATAAATTTATGTCTGAAAGGCATAAACGCCACTTGTCCATAAGAGCATCATGTACAATTTTAAAGGGAGTTTCCATCATTGTACAAAATAATTTCGATATTACTATGGCATTTCCGGTTTTGTATGAGTAACAATAATTACCGTTAATATAAGTATTCAGTAATATTTCAAATTAAAACAGGCACATTGTAGTTTTAAAACTCGACGCAACATGTCGCTTACGCCTTTTTTACTTTTAGATAAAGTAGCCGTAATTAACTACTAAGTAGCTATGCACACAAACCGTAGTCACGCACAAACCGAATACTCCAAATGACCAATAAATTATATTCCAAATCACCCACGGATCAGCTAGCGGTAGGCGATACAGATGATGAGAGATTAAAAAAGGATGCTTTAAACCAGGATTTTATCATAATTAATAATCAGGATGAGGACAATAATAATAATATTATTATTACTGAGTGTCTTTCTCAAATGGAGGCGTTTGGTGCACTTGAATACTGTGGTCAACTAACAGCTCATTTAACAGCGCAGTGTAATATACTATTAGTTCCTGATAATGAGACTGTTCCAACCCCCTTTGTCCCGACAATTCATAAGACTGATGTTTTCCAAGACAGTGTTAATATTATTAAGTTGAGTGTGGAACCAAGGAAAACAACCACCCGACTAAACATAGTGGAATACCCAGACACAAGTAGTGAAAATGAATATTCTGATGATGTCAATCAGAACGTATCTGAGTCGCCTGTAGGACCACCAGGAAGGCAATAACAGTCAATTTGAAGCCGATCCTGCGGAAAAAACATTTGAGCCGCGTCTGGTCAACCGGGACGACAACACCGACAACGAATCTGAAGCCGATTCTCCAGATACAACATTTAAGCCACCTGCCACCGTCGAGGAAGACAGTAACGATTCTGAAGAGGTGGGTGACAATTCGTAAAGCAACCAAAAGGACAAAACGTAAGAAGAATGAAAGCGAATCTCAAAAAAATAAACGGTACCGCCAATCTGGAAAGGCTCATTATAATTACAAAATGAAGAAAGTTGAAAGCAAGAAAGTTTTACCAAATCCCTGCCGTAGTAAGGACTGCAATAATAGCTGCAATAAGTTTTCGGAAGATGAGAGGCAAGTAATTTTTTCATTCTTCTGGGGTTTAGGAAGTACCGAGAAAAAACGGAGTTTTATTAATGGGTGTGTTAATGTGGTCCCTGTTAAAAGGAAGAGGACCCAACACGCCGATTCAAGAAGGGATTTACCTTACCAATACTTCTTGGTTAAAAATGATGTTCAGTTGCGCGTATGCCTACAGTTCTTTCAAGCTACCCTAAATGTAAGTCAAAGACTCGTTAGAAGCTCAATACAGGGAAAAATAAAAGAAAATTTAGACTTGCGAGGTATACATGAACCCGGGCATAAGGCAACGATGGAACAAATAAAAGAATTTAGATCTTATATTCAATCAATTAGATCTTATATTGTTTGCACCCGTTTTCAATCGCCCAACTGAAGCAAAAGGTTATCGGTTTCAAGAAGCATGTTTCTTAAACCTCAAAAACATTCGTCATAATTGTTTATATATACAAACAAACAAGTCGAGGCAAACTGATGTATGTTTGTCTTTCGATTTGCCAGTCTCTCGAAGAGACAAATGCTCCATATCAAATTAGTTCAACAAATGCATTTCCAAAGAATGACATTTTAGCGATCTCCAAATAATATACTGTCGTGGACAATGTCACAGGTGAGTAATCAAGCAGAGGCAGTGTCAGGCGGTTCTTAGCAGACGTGTATCGTAGCCAGATTGTGCTAAATAAAGTAAAATGGAACAGCTGCAAAAATTAATGGATGATCAAAAATCAATAATTCAACAACAAATTGTTCATCATACCTTGAAACTTATATAACACATAAATACTTTGGAATAAACATCAACATCTGAATGGCACTGGTTAATCAAATTGTTGATGTCAAATTTTAATATTTAAAATGAGAAGCTCATATGCAAAAAATATTGAAATTGCGATATCGGCGCCAGTCTTCTAAAAGACCACATCGCATTACTTGATGAAGTTTTCAGCTCCAAAACGCGCTGTAACCCATTTTTAACTTTAATGGGAAAAGAGGATCCATTCTCAAAAGCGGATAGATGCTCGAGGGGTACAGATGTAAAGTTTGCTAAACGTTTTAACGCTAATATTTGGGTAAATTAATAACAAGACTGCAAAACGAGCAATTTTTGCAATTCGCAGAATTTTAATGTTTTACACAAACCGTCTAACCTATTGGGTTGCAGTCGCAGTTTTATAAATTATTAATTGATTGTAAGCAGCATTAGTGTGGTGTGAGTTCAGGTCAATTTAAGTGAAAGTATTTAAGATGAGAAAAATTATTTTTTTAAACTATATTTAAATGGCTTATAGTGAAGACAATGTTAGTGAACCGAGCATTCCGCTCAAGAAAAATCAAAATATGAGCTGAAACATGGATGCGAAACATTGCAAAAAGAAAAAGGAAGATTATTATGCGTACAACTCGGCTTTTTTGGTAGGCCGTTAGAAATTTGGTTTTAACAAAATTATGCAATGAAGAGTGCAACCCTTCATACCAAATTATTAATTAAGTTTGAGTAATTCCTCGAAGATAACTAACAACAATTTACCAAATAAAATACCAAAATTTTGAGGCAGCAGGAAAAATTACCGATTAAGAAGAGGGGGAAAAAACTAGTTATTTTAGTTTGATAAAAAGCTACATGTTGAAAGCTAGATTATATTTGAAGCAATTACGCCACAACACTTAAACAAACCGACTTGCGAGGTGATATAGGAGCACACCAGACAGCCACCTCGCCTCTAATGAGCTGGCTAATTGCCAGTAATGGAACACAGCCAATCCTGAAAAAGAAACAGTTTCAAATAAAATTGTAATCTGATATGTTCCGTAAATATGTTAAGAAATTTTAACAGCGTGTTCTCCCAGTCATTTTAGAGCCCCCTCTAAAATGTCTTCCTGAGAATTTTTTTTATTTGAGATCTCATTTTTGAGATATTAGATCTCCAAAATGGCGGAAAATATTAGTTTTTGTTGTTTTCCTTTAAAACTGTTAAACATAGAAACTTCAATTTTGGTACACATTATAAGCTAATTGTAGGGTTTTGCAGTTCATTTACTTTTATACAAGGTAGAAACGTGGATCCCCTACTTTTGTTTTGTTCAGACCTTTTTTGTGTACACCTAAACTTTTATAAACATAATTTTTTAATTACTACAACTTTTTTACATCTTATTATTTTCTCCTAAGAGCACTAGTTTGCCCGCAAAAAAATTAAATTGTTTCGGCTTGATCAAAACTTTCCAAGCCGTTGGATTGGGAGAGGTCAAGAAGCTTCTATAAACTCGCCTCCTAGATGTCCCGATCTAAACGCGCTTGATTTTTACTTCTGGGGCCATTTAAAAAATACGGTGTATTAAACAGATGTGAATACAATCGAAGAACTTCAGGAAATAATATTTAATATTTCTAACGAAATAAGAACTTAAGTGAAAGACTGCGATTGTGCCAAGAGTGTCAAGGTGGCCAATTTTAACAGCTGCTAAGTTAACATTCAAATATTTATTTAAATTTAATTTTGTTTGTTCATATCGTTGCGCATATTGTAACCAAGTTATTATTTAAGTAAAATTTATTCAAACTGAATAATTGTAATTTGAACCAGCATACACAATTTAGAAAAATAATTTAGGCTGTTAGTAATCAACTAATATTGCGTACCAAAGTTATTATATGAAAACGTTATTACATTTAAAAAACATTATTTAATTACTTACACATTTTGAGAACGGCAATAAAACTATTTTATTTTTTCGCGGGCAAATTACTGGTCTTGCGAAAAAACAGTAAGAGATAAAAACGATGGTAAATACCTTGCAGTAATTAAGTAAGTTTCCATGTTTGACCGTTTTAAAGGAAAACAACAAAAACTAATATTTTCCGCCATTTTGGCAATCAAATATCTCAACAACAAAACTTCAAATTAAAATAATTCTCAGGAAGACCCCCCTCGAAAATAACCAGAAAAACAAGTTGTTCAAATAATTTAACATATTTACGGAACACCCTGTATATCTTCTATCTTTCATTCTATGTTCCATTTTTATGGAAAAATAAATAAAATTATATTAATTTCATAAATCATTTCACACTGATGGGAAAATATCTCTTCTCTGCCTTGTTTATTAATTCTGGTGATATTAGCAACTTACGCATATAAATTCGAATTATAAAGGAAGAACTTTGTTTTCGTTTCTTGAAGTATGTTTATTTGATATTAAGCAGTTTCAGTGAGCAAGTTTTGGGTCGACCATAACCTCGACGAAAGGTTCAAACTTAAACACTTTTAAACAGTCACGGTTTCACAACACACGTATTTTAACAAATCACGACTATGGTGTTTTTTAACGCCCATCTCTCACTTTCAAAATTGTAAAGATAAACAACGTTGTTCAAGAAAATGGCTATTTAATGTACAAACCTCTAAAAAGAGCAATACATGATTTGATGTACAGTTGCGCCTAGATTATAAGAACCTATATAAAACTAAAAAAATTATAAACGTGTCCATTACTTGACATCGAAAATGATGTAAACCGGATGACTCAGAAAGAAAATTGTATCTAAAGGAGAAATAACAGCTTGAGAAGCCTGTCAAGTCAAGAATATTGTAAAAAGAAATAATGGAAATCTATCCCTATTTCAGAATAGTAGGTATGATAGCGTTAACTAGGGAAGTAATGCCAAAGTTACGTTTTTGTATATAAGGAAACTTAATTTTTCTATTACTATAAAGCGCCACTTTATGGAAACAAAACTAATCCATTAAATAGTTTTGTTGGTAAAATTTTATTTTCAGTAAAAATGTGATGAACTCTAAATATCTGGCATACCCACTTGTACGTGCACAACGTGTTGTTTTTAAGATTTAGAAGATTCTGGGTTGCTTTAGTTTGGGTTTAGTTTTCATTGCTATGAAACACCTCCATGGTAGTTCGTTACAGTACAGTCTGGTTCTAGGATTGCCGCTTTGCCTATTAAGACTATGCTCACCTTATAGATAATCTCGTAACAAACAACATTTTTCTTATACCTTTTGTGACCGAATGAGCCATAATGCCGAACAACGGTCACCATTATGGCTCAGCTCTTTGCGCCGGCGTGCCAGTCGAAATTTTTCGCGAGGTAGCCAGTACTACAGGGTGACTCAAAATTGGCGTCATTCATCTGGAGGTGTTGCCTGGCGGTGTTTTAGGAGTACAGAAAAAATGGTACAAAACGTAACTGTTATTAAAAACTTAGAAATTTGCAAAAAAAACTACATTACAAAAACGGCAACAATGTTTTTCAAGGTAATCTGATTAATTAACAATATGTAAATACCTGTTGCTTCGTAATTATTTAAAACTCCGGCAACCATGGATAAATAGAAAAAGTGACAATAAGATAGACAAGGATAAGCAGTAAATTCAACAGAAATCGTTGAATGGCTGAACGTATTTGGAAACTCATAACCTCGAATTATTAATTTTTTTAAAAATTACAAAAACATACATTTGAGTCTGTAACTCCAAACAAGTGCCTGTGATAACCTTATGCACTCTTCTCGAGCAGCTTCTCGTATTTGGTTAATTAACTCCTGCTCAATGTATACCGGTGCTCAGTAATCCATTGGTTTAAAGTGAATCTTACATACGTGGTGGAAAAGTAGCCGGCATTTATTTGGTGCATGGGAAAGTGTCAGTGGTTGTGCAATGTTCTGAGTGCCCCTGGAAGGCTGCAATTATGTCCAATGCTTGTTCCTCTTTGTCTGAAACCCGAACATCAAGGGTCGTCCATTATCTTTCTGCAACCACTCTCCTCGCCCTTTTGCGTTAGCGATTTATTTCAAAAACGTAGATATTAAGTTTTTTAAATGTTAACGGAAATCATATTGAACATTTATTTTAAAATAAATTGTAGGTGTAATTTTGTATTTTTATTTTTATAGACGTATGCAGTTTTATTGCTTTTTTGCTATGAAATTCCATGCATTTTATAAAACGTTACAATTTTCTTTATTAATTATGTAAAGTATCATCAAATTTTGACACTCATTTAATTAATTCCATAGCCACCTTACAAAATGTAACTTTTTGAAATTTTTAAATAAAATAATTTATAATTTGAAAACGGTTGATTTCACAGCTTAAAGTGTAAATGTAAATTTTATGGAAAATATTTTATAATACAGGGTGATTAAAATTTCACTCCTGGCAAGCTGTGAACAGATACATACATATATTCTATGTTTGTTAGTTTCTATTATGTTTTTATCACTTAAAATGTTCTTATGTCACATAAAAGACTTCTATCTCTTTTATATGACATTTCATAGCTGGCTAGATATGAAATTTAAATGATCACCCGGTATAAGTAGGTAGGTATAATACAATATGCATATTAATATAGATATCAAAATAATCAAAAAGAATTAGGTCAGTACGTTGTACTACATATTCAGTACGCTTTCGAGATATATTCAGTACCATCACGATGATAATTCTGGCAACACCGAGTAAAGTCAGTTCCGACCCGCCCATCACTAGCCACACAGACTGTACTGTAAAGAATTTATCCACTTCCCTTTTCAAGTTTTCGGAATTTTATACTAAAACTGCTTTATGAACCTACTTAAGTTACAAAAACAAAAAAATGGGGTAATGCTTTACGATGTGATCTGGTACTAGGATTGCCGCTTTGCCGATTAAGACTATGGTCACCTTATAGAAAATCTCATAACAAACAATATTTTTCGTATAAATGTTTCGATTAAATGCCGTTTTCCACCACTTTTCGCCCTCTGAAATTCACCAATTTCCAAAACAAAACAACGGTCGCCATGATAGTTCAGCACTTTGCGCCGGCGTGCCAGTCAACATTTTTCGGGTAGTTGCCAGTACTATTATTACCACTTCCTTAACCACCTACGCGATCAGTTTCGCTGAAACATTCAAACGGAATCAATTTGAAGATTGAAGAATTTGAGAATTTTAAAGTTTTTTCTAACATAAAATAAATAGTAATTAGTAATACCCAGAGTTTTCACTACTTTTCTGATTCTCATGATAATTCAAATTAACTGATTAAGAACTCACACGCGTTCATAGAAATCCATAGAGAAACCAAAGCTGAAAATACTTTATTTTATTTTCTTTGCATGCATACACAATTAATTTGATATTTCAAACGGCTGGCTGCAATCAGCTGGGTCCCGTCTAAATTACGCGCACAATCATATGTATGAGCTTATCAGTTTCGTCTACTATTACCTGTATGGACGTAATTCTGCTAAGTTTCCAACCTTGAATGAATTACTTTTTTGTTTTCATTGAAATTTTCTACTTTGGTGGCAGTTCGGCAACATGGCTGACCAGTATGCAATGTTTGGCTGCGCGTACCCTGCGTGCAGGCATGTGCGCGTGCCACAGCAGATCGTACCGTAAAGCATTACCAAAAATGGAATTTTGCCGGTTATAAACGACGGCATGACCGAAAATAATGCCATATGATTTCTTTGTTCTCATTGCTCAAAATAAATCCGGCCATTTATGGGAACGGGAACAATGAACGGATTTACTACACAAAAACAAATAAACACTTACTCGTAATCCACTGACCGTAGTTGATAATCGCTCAACACTTTTCTTCCAATTGCACCATTATATGGACACCAGAATTTGCAGCGACATGAGAGTACTCGTACTCATAGATAAAGACAAGTACTCGTACTCGGATCATGCACATAGATAAAGACGAAATGATCATGGGGAATCGATTACGTGTCAGACATTTCATATTTGACACTGTACCATCGACATACTATTGTAGCGACCTAGAGCCACGCCTAGGGTTGGAGAGCCGGCATCGGCGCCCGACAGTCCGCCAACTCGAAGAGAGGAAGAGGAGTCAGTGGTT